AAGATATATTTTATTGTTCTCGAAGGCGGTCAGGTAGATGCTGTACATTCATTGACAGAAGTTTATCCACCTCGAGTTACTACTGTGGTTCAGTGGGCCGAGCGTTCTTTGTCGTGGTGAACAGAAGTGGTTTGCTTCGCCGTCTTAAAGACATCTGCCACGCGTCTACCCGTTTTTAACGGTGCACATGCACCTGGAAAAGGCAGGCGAAGAGACTGCTGATCGGTACATGACTGGTTTTACAGGAACCACAGATAATCGCTGTCGTAATCTGTGCACATAATTGTAGCCATTTATTTTAAGTGTTATTTCTATCGCGTTTCACGGTTTGCGCACCGCAGTGAACAATGGGACCGCTACGGTGGTCTAGCGGTTAGAACGCTGGCCTTGTAATCCTGGGGTCTCGGGTTCGATTCCCGGCGGTGCCCGAATTTATAACTTGTGTTGGGCAAGGCCGTGGTCTAGGCAACACGGAGTTTTCCTCCGTGGCATCCCAACAATTACTCCATTCACACACAGAAGAAGGCAATGGCAAACCACTTCTGGATCATCTGCCAAGAACGTATATGAACAGGTCCCAGTCCGAGAAAAGAATGGAAGGATCCTGTTCATATGGACCTGTCCTCAGACAGAACACTAAATAAATAAATAAAATAGTGAACAATGAGACTGGTGTTTACGTCACACCGAAAGCGATGTGGAATTTTGTTTAGCTGTTCCTTTCTTTCTGTGGTCCTCTTGCATGACAGCCATCAGCCATGGACGGAGTAAACTGACGTTTTTCCAGGAGAGTTCTCCTCCGTGGCGCCTTAGGAATAGACCAGTAAGCCAATGAAGTTTTCCACTGTGGAATTTCTTCAGTTCCCATCGAGATCTTTTATCTTGCGAACGTTTGCTGTAAAACAGCGTAATTGCGGTGCTAGAGAATTCACTTAGCGTGGCTATTGTGACGTTGTGTATGTCGGGAATCATGGAAATGATTACGTCCGGCACTTTCGACACAGCGTGCATTGCAGCCAACAGAGCAGTTTTGTTGGTAACAAGTTAATAATGGGTTGATATTTTTGCTTGTGCCAGAACTGATTTTTTTCTCTTTCTGTTGGGTGTAGGTAACTTAGTTGCGGTCAGATGTTAAGGTAGTGATTGGATCGCGTGTTCATTGGTCGTCCTTTCAGCCAGCTTTTCCCAATCATTTTATACCCGTTGCACTGTTATAATTTTCAAATCTGTGGCATGCCGGGAGGTGAGGGGGGGTTGTGCAGCCCCGGGTGAATATAATATAATGGCCATAAAATCTCCAGGAAATAATTTATTATTTTTTATTTCGTTGTATTTATTATTTTTCGTTATTTTTGTGCTGTGTTTGTGTTTAGTCATCTGAGTGTTGATGCATTGCGATGATAATAAAGCTTTGTTAGGAAAAGTAGGTTTAAGCTTGCTTAGTACGCTTAATAATGCGCTCAGCTAGTGAAATCCGCCGCCTTTTATGGAACCAGAAGGTTAATTGCCGTGTTCTCAAAATCCGAGGTCCTTTGTAACATGACGTGTTTTTTTTCTGTTGGGGGGGAGGGGAGAAGTCGTTAGGCGTGGACGACTCGCGCCGACAAGACGCCCGCTTATAATAGATGATAAGAGAGACAGAACTGTAAAGTGGCTGGCGTCTGGGATTTCTGTTCCGTGCAGTGTGGTAGAAATTTCGGAGGTGCCTACTGCTTCCATCTTTGTCGTCATCGGAAGTAGTTTATACGAATGAAACATTAAAATTACACGTGGGGTTTGATGTTCTTACGGCACAGGATTCTCTTCCAGTGTTTTTAAATGTTTATTTTTAACGCGCATGCGTTGCGTGTTGTAACCGGAAGATGGACCATTGAGCCCGAAACACGTCGTCAGGTAAATAAACGACATGTATTAAAGTGAATGCGCAGTTGCCTTAATTCTTGTGTGGTGACGGACATACCATTAGATTTCTTTGCACCTACAAAATGGCGGTCCAATTAACCTTGTCTGCACATCAAGGTTGGCTGCCACACATGTGTTGCGAGATGAGCATTGTCCTTCTCTCGCTCGGGAATCATGTGATAGGTGTCTAATGCCGAGATCACTTCGCGGAGGAGCGCAGTCGCGTAGCGATCTGGATTACGTAATTCCGTAATTTTCGTTCGCCGTTTAATAATGTGGTCGGTCATTACAAATAGTACGAGTACAAGAAAGAAGATTTGGCGTGGTTGAATAAAGAACTGTGTGTTAGGCGACCGCAGTTCAGAAGATAAAGTACAGTCACTCCGAAAATAATTCTCAAAGCGAAACAGCGGGACATCAAAACCCGGACTCTGATTATGACCACGTGTTCTTTCGCCATCCACGAAATTATTTGCGTTTCAGTATTTGGCCGGCACACGGATTCGTGTCACAACCTGTACTGAGAGACGAGCATAACAAAAATAAACATTGCATAGGAACACGAATATTTTTTTTAAACATTGTCCAACTTCTTAGGAGTGAGCATGCCTAAGTATTGTTATGCAGTATAAATTATACATAATATTAACCTTATTCTGTGTATTGTTGAAGTGTTTGCCTTACACAGAATATTCAGTCCAGACTTTACTTACAACTTGGGATGTGATTGTTCTTTGTGAAGCCACAATGAGGTGTTGCGAGTAGTGACGTCGGGTAAAATGATCGTGTATAATCGTCACTGGTTACACACGTGTATAATCGTCAAGTTTTATCTGGACTTGCATGCTATAAATGTGAGGTCGATTGCTCAGTCGGTATAGTGAGCTGCCAGTGGGATACGGGTTCGATTCACTGCGGAGGTCTTTCTGTTCGTTACCACCTTCAGGCCGGTTTAGAGCATTTTTGAACCCCTCCGTTTTTTTTTTTTTGAAAGTCGGGTTCGTTCTGCCCTCACCCCGTCCCGTACCGCCACAATTCTTTTAGTGGAGAGTAAACTAGATGCCGATTTAGTTCTTTCTTCGTAGTTTTGTTTGTGTTTGTAAGGGTCGTTGCCCGTGGTACTGTATGTAGTTCACATATCAGTAGACAGGTGGCATTGATGCTTGCTTCTACGACCACACTCACTCTCTCTTCATAGAACGTTTACCCTCAAACCCCCTTTGCTGTACGTTGTTACAGTAAAAGGTTTGTGTCTCAAAAGAAACTTATTTACGTTTTTCCTGCAAATATTCCTGTTTTGCCTTTGGTGAAATGAAATACATGGAAATTAAAATACTCTTATTGTGTTCTGGCCCTCGCAAACGATGCTCTGCAGCGATCGTTGGTTGTGTGTAGAACAGCAGCAGGATTTAAGGTCGAGAAAAATGACATTTGTTTCGTTAATGACTGTCTCATCTGATACGTGCATGTTAAAGAGCGAAAATATGGCAGCCGGTCTTGCCATTGTCTTGTCCCCGAACCTTACGTGTAAAACATGCGAAGGATTGGCTTGCGTGTGCAATGAGTGAGGACGTGTGGTCCAATCTAATCCTCCGGAGAATCGTTTTTCGCTCTGGCTTATTGATCCAGGGTAAGTTGGGCACATGGAGTTGTTGAGTGGGTGGAATGGGGCACCATCAGGCATACCCTGTTCTGGTCTTCGTTGGCCATGCCGACTTGGATAACGGGATTCCATTTTCTGATGGCTAAAGAACGCTGAAGCTGGCATTTCCATTGCATTTGTAATGATTACGCAACGCAATGTTGTTATACATTAATTATTCTGAATGTTATATTCTTTAGTTTGATTTTTATTGTATTTGTACGCTATATGAACTTACTTTAGCTGATACGAGACTCGTCGCTTATATTTAGTAATAATTTTCGATGTAGTTTTTATATTTTGAATTTCTCTTTCTGCGTCATTATGTTAGCCGAGCACAGAGGGGGCAGTTGATACTGCGATGCTGTAAAAATCGGTTTTTGGTTCGTCTGTGTGTGATGACGCGTGTTCGAGTTATTTGTCCTCGTAATTTTCGAAGCAGGGGGAGATTGCGGCGAAGTTTTGTAAGAATTCGTTCGATTTTGGGCGCCAGTGCATTTATCGAAATTGAAATAGAATATATTTTACGAAGTTTGTGTCGTATTTCAAAGCGTTAAATGCCATAAAAATACATCTTTTTCTTTTGTTTTAAGTTTGTGATGTATGATTTTTTTATTATCTGGTACACGGTGCATCAAAAATAAAGCGCCTTTACTTTTCCAAGCCCGAAACAGGAAGTGACGTAAGCATACAGCTGGCGTTGTAATACCAGTCATCCGTAATATTGTATTTGTCCATATGTGATTCTTCTCTGCCTTCCATTAATTACAATTAAAATGACCAGATGTCTGCCTGATTTGATTAAACACACGAATTAATGTTTATGACTTTTCCGAGTCGTGTGATCAGGTTCCACGGCAAAACGAAGCTGAACTGTTTCGCTTGCCCAAGTGTGTTTGTTGCCAGCCAAATGGTTGGCGTGGGAGACTGGCATTGATGCGAGAATCATACAAGCTAGTTCGATTCCCGATGTGCATATATGTTTTTCCTCCCCTTTTCAATGCATATGTTGTATTCGCAGAAGTACTTTTAAACTGCGCAGTTGTGTACTAATCAACCGAATGCTTATATTTTGCGTGTGGAACTCATAAAATTGCAAATGGATACAGAAATGTGTTGATTGTTCACGTTATTACTGCATTATTTGTGGTGCATTAGCGAGGCCATAACATCCGGTTTCTAAAATATTGTGTTTGATTTGGAATACCAGACAGTGGATAAGTCCAAAAACCTAGAAATACTATTTGTTCTGTACTATAAACGGAGCTGTTTAGATGCGCGTAAATCCGGCTTTTGGGTAGGATCCGCGTCGAATGTTGGGTGTTAATCAGCGTTTTGGCAAACATTGCAGTTGCCATTTTCAAAGTGGAATGCAGCTATTTATTGGTAATTGGTTATAGGTGTAGTAGCTAAGTTCATATTGCCATAAAAATAATGCTGATAATTTATGTTGCAGGTGCCTTAGATGAGGAGTGTGAGAGTCAGGGTAGAGAAAAAGAACAGCAGTTAAATGGGAAGCAGCGTCACCAACTGAAACACCGGGAACTCTTCCTGTCTCGGCAGGTGGAGACCCTCCCTGCGACTCACATCAGGGGCAAGTGTTCCGTCACACTTCTCAATGAGACAGAATCCCTCCTCAGCTATCTGAACAAAGATGTAAGATTATCTTTTTTAAAACATGTCATTATCACTTATTATTTTTGGGCATTCTTTACTTCAGGTGGGGGGGGGGGGGGGG